CTGTAAACTCTTCGGATTGTGAAAGCAAAGACACTTCTAGAAGTCACTGCTGTTTGGCTTATGCAACAATACATACTCTGTCTTCAGTGGGATTGTTGGGTTCCCCCTCTTATGGGATAACGACTTTGAATTCTTATTTATCTGGGGAAAACAATGCTCACCCCAGTTGTGAGGCCATAGGCCATGCATGACAATTACTTAAATTTACAATCTGTTCATTGGGGATGGGGCTCCTTTAGTACCTAGAAGGCTCAGAGGAAGCAAGGTGACCTTAGGAATGTTCTCACTTCCTTTAGAGGCAAAAATGGAGAGACGAGGCAAGACATTGCGGGGAGGTGAGAAGCAGAGAAGGCAAGGAATGATGCTAAAGGAGAGGAAAATGTAGAGGGAACCAGAGAGAGATTCTGGAGAAAAATATATCTGACGTCACGATTCCTAACTTGTGATCGAAATTAAAGGAAAACTCAGCTTTTCCCTTTATATGATGAATGGCTGGACTGCTTGGAACCCTGCAGAGGATCAACCCAATGCCATAACCTTTGTTCCAATGTTAGTTCCTTGAGGGCTGAACTTTGTTGCCTTACGCTGCAGCACGGTAGCCAACCCTGCACATGATATTCCAGATGGGATCTAAGGCCTTTTACAGTAAGAGACTATCACCTCTTTTGTTTTATATGCTGTCCCTCTGCTTATGCCGCTTTGTATCTTGCTTGCCCTTTTACTACAGCTGTGATCTGGGCTGATGGTTTCAATGATTTTTCCATAAGAACAGCTCACATCCCAGCACCACCAAATCCTTTTCTTAATCCCTTTGCTGAACACTTGCTCTGTTTAGCACATATTCCCTAGTCTGGGTCCTTGCTCCCAGATTAATTACTTTACACTTATCCACATTGAACTACATTTGCACATTCACCTAAGAGACCCAAACCTGGGTGAATCTGGTTTAATGGTGCCTAGTTACTTACTCCACCTTATTATCGTCTTATCTGCAAACCTGGAGATCTTGGACCAGATTCTGAGCTCATTTCCCCTTTCATAAATCTGGAGTGACTCCAGTGTAGTTAATGGAATTACTCTAGATTTACACCAGTGTAAATGAGAGCAGAATCTTGCTCATTGTTTTCAGTACTTTCATCTAAATAATAGCTATATTCAATATTAGGCATTACAAAGGTCCTAAAATGGCCCTGGGGGCATCATTTTCCCCACTCAAAAAGTTTTCATTGGTGGCTAGTTTCATATCTGCTTTTGACCCAGGTGTCTCTTCCGCACTCTCCGTTACCACCTCTTCTTTTTACCTTTGCTATTAATCTCTGATGTGACACTTTGTACAGCGCTCTTTGAAACTAAGTGCACGGCTGAATTTCCCTGATCTAGCGTGGCGGTCATATCTTAAAAGAACTCCAGCAGGTTACTTAAGTATGACCTGCTCTAGCTTCAAACTCAGCTTCCCAGAGAGCCCTTCACTTCATTGCCAGAGACAAGAGGAAGAGGAGCAGGGAGTCTGGGACAAGGAGCCACACCAGCACTACGATAAAACCAGCAGCAGATAAAGATGAGCTCCTCCTACCCACAGTGGCCCTGGTGACTTCTTAAAGTTACACCATCCTGATAGCTCCATCCTTTCGGAATGAGACCTTGGCTTTGTACAGACCTGGTGGAAATCTGTGTCTTGTCAATAGATTGCCATTACACATAAAGGCTAAGGGCTTCAAAGGAGACCCAACTCTATTGGCTTTGAATGGACGTTGGGTACCTAACTGCTCTTTTTGCCTCTGGAACCCTCCCTCTGAGTTAACACCTGCTGTGACGTTGTGCAGTCTATATGGTTTTATAAAAACATAATAAGAAGTGAATATAATGTAACTGGAATAGTTTTATAAAAATATAAGTGAATATAATGTAACTGGAATATGATTCATGGAAAA